TGATGCGAAAATATAGCGTCAAATCAAAATGCAATAGATGACTTGTACATTTTTTCTCAATATCCTGGATTTTGTTAAAATCAATGCATGGATCAGGCAACGACTGGAATAAAGATACCAAGAAAATGCCAAATAGCATTGTGCACCGGTAATAAAACCACTCAAACTTGCATTATTTGCAAAAAATTTGTCTGCGGAAAATGCATGATGGAGAAACCAGTCATATGTAACAAGCGTAATTAATTGAATATTTGGTTTGTGAAAATAAAAATACATTTTTGATTATTTTATTAGAAATCAAAAATTATGTTGCGAATTATTTCCTTTAATAAATTAAGAATTTTTGTCTAAAAATCAACGTTTATTTTATACGGGGTCATTTGATCCCTTATGGTAAGAATAGGTATGTGTAAAGTACCGGTACGTTTAGTGTTAATCAACCCTGAGGATGTAAACGCGTTGCGACTTCTTTTCTCGAAAGCACTGTATATATATCACTTGGTCCTGAATGACGAAAATGAAACCCTCTATCTCGGGAAATACAAGTCTCTTGTTAAGCCATATAAAGGCAACTTCTTTGTTTATGTGTTCTGTGTCTATATGGTTAGGGCGTTAGCGGCTTCTTTTCCCATTGTGTGTTAGCTTTTCGTCACTTGCGATTATGTTAATTTCGGTAAATATGCAGTTTAGCGGCTTTGCCCTAAACGCGTCTTTTTTTTTTCCAGTTTTTTTCACAAAAGGCTTTATTTGTGTCTCAATAAGAAATATAGATCCGGGGAGTTTGAAAAAGTAATGTGCTTTTACTAGTTTTTTTTGACAGAAAAACATAAAATGGTTGAAAAGTACAGAATGCGTGGGTCGTTTCCTATGATTTTTGAACATGTTATACAGGATGAGATTCTGAACAACTTTTATCTGAACAATAATTGCCGCTTGGCCTTAATTTTTGAAATATTTGCAAAAATTGTTCATACTACCGCATTGACTCTACTTATACGTGTGCCGGGGATGTGTCGGATCGGTTACGAAGGATCATCGCTCGTTTCCTTCTATAAACAAACCGCGGCGAGCGACAAAAGCACATCGTGTCGATAGGCAGACTAGGCATTATTACGGGTGATCAGTCTGTTGTTGCCTAGGAAGCTAGATACAATAGAGTAAGTATGACGAAAGTTTGATTCGATTTTTGGATTTCTTCCTATATGGTCGGTCGCCTGACGATGGCCGAGATATAAGTCTAACCCAAACCTAACCCAATTACTTGTTAAGCCAAACCTACCTTATTATTAATCAGTAAATTAACACGTTCACGCCGGCGCAGCGCCAGATTGTACTATTCAACATAATACCCTCACGGTAATACCCAGTAGGTGATGCTTATAGATCTCGACGAGCTAAAAATGAATCTGAAATCAGTTTTTGTTCATCACCCTCAGTTTTTGAGAAAATTGATTTTGCAAAAATCGCAATTTGTCAACTTTGACATTAATTTATAACAAAACTACAAAAGCTATACGATTCCTGTTGCGTTCAATGAATTTCATGCACTTCAATTAATACATTCATATACAATAGTTTGGCAATATCAATTCGCATATACCTGAAATTGTTAAGTATAGCTGATGGGACCAGTTTTGACTCTAATTTTGGAGCACTCTTTTCGATTTTTCTCAAAAAGTAGAGGTCTGGCGTGAATTGTGACCTTCGCACGCTATTCTGTGAATATTTTACTATAAGAAACGTTTATAACGCGAATTGACAAATTTTTCAACTTAGTACAAAAAAAAAAGAAATGTAGTCATGCCAGAATCATTATTATTTGAGGGCCGCATATTATTTACCCACAGTTTTTATCCGAGTGTCCCTTTAGCCGAGGACCTTTTGCAAAAAAGAGCATTCATTTCTGGGACTGTAAAAATGAATAAAAAATGTCTGCCGTGGCAGGCAAAGCAGAAGCAACAACTGGGTGGCTTTATTAGTTTGCAAAATCGGAGCGGTGTTAAATTTTTGAAATGGATAGACAAAAGGCCAGTATGTATGTTAACTACTTCAAAAAATCACAGATGTATCATAGTTCGAGGGAAAAATAATAAACTAAAACCAGACACTGTTTCTTTTTTTTTATAATATAGCTAAAAAGGGGGTTGATTTATCCGATCAAATGTCTTCATATTATAGCTGTTTGCGTAGGACCGTAAAATGGTACAGGAAAATCGTAATAGAATTAATATGCGGGACATCCCTCGTGAATGCACGGTATATACACAGAAAATGGGGCACTAAAAGAATTACAATTTTAAAATTTTCACGAAACAATTATTGATTATCTATTAAATACAATGAATCGCCACAGCGAAGAAACGTCCAGCGAAAAGGAAGTACTGCCAAAAAAATATTCGCATTTTCTGCAATCGTACCAAGGGCCCGCGAGAAAAACGAGACAGCGGTGCAAAGAATGCTACAAACGCACGTCTAGAACAAAAGGTAGGCAGTATGCCGGCAAATAAAGCTAAAAAGGTAATAACCTACCGTAATCGTTGTAAGGGCCAGCCGGCACTCTGCCTACCATGCTTTAAAAAATTGCATAGAAAAATTAAATAATTATGTTTAGTTTGTAATATTGAATTTTTATGTTTTTACTATTGAATGTTTGTTTATAATGTTGAAATAAAATAACATAAACATATTTTGTATGAAATATTTTATGAAATATAAGCGTGACCCACCGTGCTGCACGCCGCCTCACGGGACAGACGCGTGTGACCCACCGGTGATGCACGCCGGCGTCAACGTGTTAAGTAATGGATTAGAATTAGGTTAAACTATGTCGTCGTTGCCAAGTGGAGAGCCACTTGCGATCCGAAGCGAGTGCCACACCACACCACACCAGCTTAGTTAAAATGTGAAAAAAATCTAGATTGACATGTTATTGAAGTTAATTAAGTAATCTTTTTGTCCACCCGTTATATACGCTCGCCTGCCATTCCTATTTCTGTCGCTCGCCGGAGTTTGTTTATAGAAGGAAACGAGCACCGATCCTTCGTAACCGATCCGACACGCCGCGGCACACGTACAAGCGGAGTCAATGCGGTAGTGTGAATAATTTTTGCAAATATCTCGGAAATTAAGGCCAAGCGTGAATTATTGTTCAGATAAAAGGTGTTCAGAATCTCGTCCTCTACAACATGTTCAAAAATCATAGGAAACGACCCACGCATTCTGTACTTTTCAACCATTTTATGTTTTTTTGTCAAAAAAACTAGTAAAAGCACATTACTTTTTCAAACTCCCCCGATCTATATTTCTTATTGAGACACAAATAAAGCCTTTTGTGAAAAAAACTGGAAAAAAAAGACGCGTTTAGGGCAAAGCCGCTAAACTGCATATTTAACTTAATTTCTTTATCGGTGTGTAATTTTTGTCGGATTGAACTACGTATTGTTTTTATGAGTTCAGATTGTTTCATTTCGCGCAGAATTAATCTCGTAGGTTCTGTATTTATCTGTCATGCTATTATTTCTCGTCCTCCGTCTCTACACGTGGCAGTGTAACATGTTCTATAGTTGCTTTTGGATGGCGGTACTTTGCTTTTGTTAGAAATGTCCTTATGCTCCTTGCTATTTTCTCTAAGTCTTTGAGTGACCGTTTGGTGATCCCGATAGAATACGCGAGGATGGACATTGTCAATGCGTTAATTGCTTTTGTAGTGTTTTTCGAGTGCAGCGATGTATTGCTTGCGCGCACTCTCCTCTCATCTGAAATTCTGCTTTTAATCCCTGCTTTATTGCTGCGTGCTCTATGGATTTATACCGTTCTATGGTTAAATATGTGCATTTTTCATTGTTGCGTAATTCTCTTATTACTTCATTGTGTCGTGTTATATATTCTAAGTTGCGTTCTTGCTTATCCTTAACTGTTGTTTGTATTTTACAATTTGCATTTTTCAATTACAAAATGCATTTGTATGTCCTGACTAAATTTTTCTACTATCTATATCTATCTATATATTTCTACGTTGTCTACGTTCACATAGAAAATATGCGTTCTTATCTGTTATCCTTTATACGTGTCAATCATTTTAGAGAACGGATTTGTGACAATGAGTCACAATAGTGTAGAGTGCTTAAACTATCTCGCTGGAAGATACCCCTTTTTATTTGAATGTTACTGCTTGCTCTGCTTCCTCCCGTCATTACCGATACCGTGCTTTTCCATTTGTTCATCAGTTTCTGTATTGTCTGGATGATTGGGTGAATTTTGTACGTTTGTAGTATACAAATGATCCAGTTGTGTGGAATGTTATCATAGGCTTTCTTGTAATCTATAAAACGCGCATATAAATTTCGTTGGTCCGTTTGTGCTTACCGTTTTGCTGTTGCATCTATTATTATTTGTTTCACGTATCTGTACGTTCCGGATCTGCAGTCCTTTTGTTTCTCTGCTAAAATATTTTTATCTCCCGTATGTTTTGTTATTATCTATGCTATACATCCTGTTAGTGATTTGTACGGTGTATTTAAGCACGTTATGGGTCTGTAATTGGCCGGATTATGGGTGTTCTCGTTCTTGGGTGTAAGAAAAGCTTCGCATACTTCTTCTGATGTTTTCTGCATTTTCCATTAAGTTTATCGAAGATGTTTATTATTTTACTGCGGAGTGTCGTTAATTTTTTCAACCAACAGTTGTGTACTTTATCTGGTCCTGCATGTTTTCAGTTGTGTAGTTTCTTTAATTATCTCGACATTATTTCATAGTTTATCTCTATTCTGTCCATATTTTCAGTGTCTTGATATTTAGGATGTTCTGTTATGTTCTATTGCGTTTGACCATATCGATGGTTTCTATCTCTCCTGTTGTTGGTGTTTGCCTTATGTAATTATTAAGTCTATAATTATAAATTTACCTTTAAACCGTATATTTATATATTATTGTAGATATAATTGCGAGTTTATCTTCTCCAATTTGTATCTTTTCACTAACTCTTCTCTAATATTTTTCAGTACAATTATTCTCGAATGTTGTGGGATATGGAAAGTTCGCAACCGTCCGGACACCTGTCAGGATTTGTAGATAAAGCCTTAAAATTACTAGACCTGAAGCAAGTGATGATGGAGGTGGAGACATCGGTGATGTCGAAAGTATCCTGCACAGCGTGTAAAGCTGGGGCAGGTCTTATACAACATTACATAAAGATCGGCAAAAACGATGAAGAGATTATGAACAGCATTTACCAATTCTGCGTGTCTCTTAATATCCAGAGCCCCAGAGTTTGTCAAGGAGTCTCGTTGCTTTTTGGAGTAAGTCTCCTTCAACTAATTACTTGTTACTTCTTTAAGCGAAATCATCAAAGAAACATGCAGTTTCAAAAAATAATGGGCATGATTTTGTGTCTGATACCAAGGCATTTCGTCAAGTGAGAAGTAACAATAATTTTCTACAATAATTTTTTCCAATAAATTCCAATAAACGAGACGTCACGTCTCAATTTTGTTGACTGTTCTGACCAAACGTAATGACTGTGAGTGCTTCGCAAGAAGTCTCTTGAAGAGAAGTCTCTTAGTCACTCGATCTACACTCATACGTGAAAGTATTCGAACGTTTGCCTGTACTGCTTTTAAAAAGTGACATGTACGTGTCACATTGAAATATTTGAGGAGATAACGTTGTGTACGTCAAGAAGGAACTTTTAAAATTATACGAGTAAAATTAGAAAATATTTCGACTTTATGTATATTATTTACGATAGATTTATTATAAACATGTAGTATTGGTGAACCATAAAAATATTGCATAAGTAACGTCTAATATTAATGAAAAGTAGTACTAATTAAAAGATAGGAAGTTTCAATGTTGATTCAATTCAATTTTTGTTGCGTACAACAGCCGTAAGACGATTTTTCATTTAACTCACTAGCGTCACCACGGCTCAATAAATGTAATATAAATATTGTGTATCCAATTGAATTATTTTCTAACTTTACTGGCATAATCTTGGGGTTTTTTTTTTTACTATACTGTACCATATCATTTTATATATTTCACTTTAACGTACAAATTGAAATTGTTGAGCGTAATAAATGTAATCGTTCGAATATTTTCCTGTACGAATATATATATCTCCATCCATCTCATCGACAATATTTATCACATAATCCAAACGAAGAGTGCAAATGAAAAAAAGGTATTTTAAAATAGAAAATGTTTTTCCGTAAAAGCGATGTTTATTCAAATACCAATATTAGAGAAATGTTAGCAGAATAGTTAATAGAGCTTTTAAGACATGACCTTATGTGTACTTTTGGCACATTCAGCCATTTTTTTTTAGTAAATTACATAACAGACTTATAGCCTTTTTAAAAAATAAATAGTCATTTATTGTTATTAATTAATAGAAACTCGTGAAATTATAAATAAGTTCCTTTATATTTTGTTTTAACCATTTGCACTTCACCAGCGCCACTGTAGAGATATTACTAATCTGTAATTTGTTACTCGGTTTTGCTCTCACCAATAAAAGTGAAAAGTGTGAGTAAAATTACTTTGCAAAGAAACTCTTATATTTTCTAAATTTTTATTCCAAAATGTTTTTTTTACTGTAAAAGTGAAATTAGAGACGCCGATCGGCAGAGTCAAAATATTTTCGGTGTGCAAACGATTAATAAATGATATTTTGACAAACGAAATTTTTTATTTGAAACGTCGATTATGACTTAACTTTCTTCATTTCCACTCTTTGATTGATATGCGAATTAAGTAGGGTGTTCCCTTCCGCTCTGACCAATTAAACCTACGTCCCTTCCGCAGATCTTCTTATGAGTCATATACAGTGCTTAAGTAGTTGGCAATAATATGCCATCATGACACTGAAAAGGTTAATGTCGAATTAATGGACTGCTGAACGATGGTTCTGTCTAGGCAGAAGTCATTTACGTGTTAAAGCAAGTAGATATGGGCCCAGCGCAAATTTGCAGTTTCGTTATTGGCGACGCATGCGACGACACTTACAATCCTATTCACGAATGGGAGGTAGCGTTTCCGCCCGAGAAGAAGCCACCCGTGAAGCCGCCAGTGCCGCCTCAAGAAGGTGTGCCAACCTTCAAAGTCCTACATATCTCTGATACGCACTACGATCCTTACTACCAAGAGGGCACGAATGCGGATTGTAACGAACCGTTATGCTGCAGATTTACCAACGGGCCACCCCGGTCTTCAGCCACAGCTGCTGGCCGATGGGGTGATTACAGAAAATGCGACACGCCAAAGAGAACCGTTGAACATATGCTCAAGCACATCGCTGACACGCATTCCGTAAGTGATAATTTATCGACGCATTATTGGTTTTACTGCTGTTACGAATCTGTCTTGAAATTGAAAGCAATTTCTCATTTCTCTTACTTTTTATGGTATCGATAGATATATAGCCTGCTTTCGTGTGTGCGTGTTATATTTCCTCGATTTTAATTTCCTCGAAAACCAAGACTCGAATCGGAAAACTTCATTCTTCATTTTTTCCTTATCCGTTTATATGAAAGCGCGTGGTTTTGCAAGTTCTACTCCTGATAAAAAAATTTTAATCAAATATTACATTATTTTCTTCTGGATAATACTCAACTTTCAATTTTTGTTTTTGTTTGTTTTTATTTCATACTAGACCGATGTAGTATCCCTTTATGCTTATATTATAGTACTTTACATACAAAAAATTGTAGTAATTTCAAAAACTTTAGTATTATTGCGTTTGGTCCAAAACTTTTTGCCGGGGGTAATATTATCAAATTTATAATAGATATATAACTGTAATAATTATTATACATATAAATGTGTCTAATATGATATTGTATTAAAAATAAAGTATATAAATAGCGAGTAAATTATAGAATGTATATAAATAGTATGCATTACCTGATTTTATTTTATATTGTTTTGTTTTATCAGAAGTGTTTACATTGAAATAAGTAAATTTTAGTAGTTTAGATTATTTATTTCCAAATTTTAGATTATTAATTTTTATTTACTTTTTATTTATTTTTAAATTTAATTTCTAAAATTTGATCAAAATTATTTAAACACATAGCTTCGCTTTTAGTTTACTAGAATTGTATAAAAATACAAAGCAAACAGACAGAGAAAAGAAAATATGTTTGATTTATTTTAATGAAAAGAATGCTCGCGAGAAAGGTTTATAATTTTATAAATTGCTCTTGTCAATTTAGGATATAGATTACATATTGTGGACTGGCGATATTCCACCTCACGATGTGTGGAACCAAACACGGGAAGAAAATCTGAATGTTTTGCACGAAACGGTGACACAACTGATTGAAATGTTTCCCGGAATACCGATCTTTCCAGCTCTGGGAAACCATGAAAGTGCTCCTGTTAATAGGTACATTCTTTTACCGACTTCCGCAACTTTTTTCTACTACTTTAGTAACGTCTTTTCCCCTTGCTGTAACTCATCCGAATAAAAGTGAAAAATTTCAAGATTCACAATTGTGCGTTTATTTCTTGTGAAATAAATTCACGGAGCAAATTGACATTTTTCTATTTTCTACTTTAGTATTCTAATCTTTAATGATTCTTTCCACTAACATCTTTTTCTTTATACGAACTGCTCATTTACCAAATCCATTAACTTCAAAAAGATAATAATAAAAGAAGATATGTATTTTAAATATGAAAAATAAAGCCTCGATTCGGACAAAGTTATTAACTAATATTCTAATATTCTATTATTATCATACAATTACTCTAAATTTGTGTGATAAATTTATCAACTTATAATTTTTATTTATAATTAATTATTCTATTAATTTCAGATTTTCAATTTTTAAGTCAAACTAAAAACAATGAAATTTAATAATTATTGCAGCTTTCCACCACCATTTGTTCCAAAAGAAAATGACATATCCTGGTTGTACGATGCACTTGACAAGCATTGGAGGCGTTGGCTGCCAGCAGGTGTTTCGCATACTGTTCGCCGGGGTGCGTTTTATTCGGTTCTAGTGCGTCCAGGTTTTAGAATTCTTTCTGTAAACATGAATTACTGCAACAACAAAAACTGGTGGTTGCTAATAAACAGCACGGATCCAGTGAGTGAACTACAATGGCTCGTTTATGAGCTGCAAGGAGCTGAAATGAATAATGAAAAAGTTCATATTATCGGCCATATTCCACCCGGACATTCAGATTGCTTGAAGGTGTGGTCCAGGAACTATTACCAGATTATTAACAGGTTAGTGCAATACGATCTATAATTTTGAAACGATCGTTTTACTTTTCCTGCATAAATGCGTACTTAAAAGAAGATTACCAGTGGTAGTTATTTGAAAAGTGAGAAGAAAGAACGGGAAATGTTCAGTTAGAGATTTCACATGTATTTTTTGGCCATGGCAGTTAGAATTACAGTAGAATTAGGCCTGCACACTTTTTTCCGATCCACTAAATCAAAGTAGTAGAAACTTCAGGCTACAAATAATACAGATAAAACGATCGAATCTTATTTCTTTGCCGATGGAATTTGAAGTATTGGAAATTGATTCTGTCCACAAAGTCCGATGATTACTATTTTTTTTACTAAAAAAAATTATTATTTTTACTATTCGTAAATTTTCTACCTTTATTTATGGAATGTTTTTGCCCATCCCGATATTAGTCGAAAATGTCAATATAAATTACAACCAGGGATTAAACCAACGAATTCTCCGATGACTACAACCTCTCCACATTCCTCGCTTTTTCTCTAACTGCTCGTTCGCTCCTTGCAAATGTACACTTGTCGCATTTGTATAAACGATCTTGTACCAAAAAAATGCATCAGAAAATTTCTAGAAAACATTTTTGTAGCAAGAATGCAAACTATGATCCACTCCCTTTACAGAGAATAAAATCCTTGCAAGGATACAGAGGAACTGAGAATATAGGAAGCGAAGAAATCGCCATATACAGCACATCCTTCTGTAAATGTATCCATAAACAGAATGTTCCGTATGCCTTTTTCGCATGCTCTTCGCGTGCATTAATTGCTGTTCATGGATTGATTCTACTCCGAATGTATCATGACCGATTATTTTATTTCCTGAAAAATCACACCCATTGAGTTACATATTTCTACGCGTGTAATTCCATTTACGTACGTGTATGACTTGGATCTATATTTAGACTGTGGAAACTAAACGATTAAATGACATTGAATCACATATTTTCACGCGCCTATTAAATTGTACTTACGTACATGTACGACTTATTGCTAGCTTTCCATTTAGACCGTATTTGGATCGGTTCACTGTCTACGCTGCAAGTACCGATGGAATTATTTTCAAATCAAAGAACCAAAATATTTATGGAAAGCAGGGTTGAAAAATAAACGAATACACTTTATATTTTCCTCGTTTAATAATAAAGTAACAGTAGTGAATGGATATTTATGTAATACTTACATCACTATTGCCACACTTTCTTCTTTATACACATACTTGTCATTTTTGTTTATTTATGGCATCCCCCCCCCCCTCACACATACACACGCAAATCTCATGAATAGCCTAGTTCACAGTCGATCAATGAGACCCATCACTTACACCCACGATATTTAAATATCCAAAATTAAAATGATGTATTTGATATTCTAAATTTAAATATTCGTTATTTTAGCTATTATGCCAAATAGATTTTATTTTTCATCGAGTATTACGGTTTTTTATTGACCCAATCGGGACAGTAGATGGTAAAATCAACTTTCACCCACGTTCACGGACGATGACTCTTTCGTTCACCATGCACACGTGTCGTGAGATCCTTGGAATTCGTGGCCGATCGGTATTTTTTCAAATTTCGCATGAATTGTCGCGTGCAAGAAAATAGTGTAGAACTATATACGGAGTGTTCCACCTGAGCACCCGAAACACCTGGCTCGTTTCTTCCGAAGGAGTAAATGGTGCAATAATAATTTTTACTTTTTCATTGGTCATTTTGCCATCATAATTTCACTGTTCGGAACAATTGCTCAACTTGTGAATTTTTAATATATTCAAGGTCACTTGGAGGTTGTGGCGTTATGGATTATTGGATTCGTTTTAAATTTCTGGGACGCATCGACAATAAAAATGTCGTTCGACGTAAAAAATGTGACCTTGGAAAGAATCGATTACTTATCACAATATTTTCCATGGACATTTTTTTACCATAAAGAAATAAACGAAATATATATACACATGCATACATACATACATACATACATACATACATACATACATACATACATACATACATACATGTGTGTGTGTGTGTGTATATATATAGTACTTATAACTTATTAACTTCAACGACCTGCCATATGAAATCATTTAGTTAAAATAAAGTAATTTCCACGTTTATCAAATTACCTTTAAGAACAATGTCCCCCTGTGTATAAAACAACTGTTATTAAAACCTTTTTTATATCGGGTTCAATTTTTTACGAGATAGGCTCACTACGTTAATTAATTATTAAAAATAGTATATTAGATATATTTACATAACCATATATTTACTAAAGCAGCGATATCAATGTATGTACTTTAGTCTAATATCGCATTCATACAAAATTTATTAACGAATACTGTTCAAATTATTAATCTTCCATCTGTTGACAGTACGTCACTTGTTTATCTTCATAACTTTATAACTCTGTATGTACTTTGATTTAGGTACGAATCTACGATCACGGCACAATTTTTTGGGCATACACACTACGATGAGTTTCAATTGTTCTACGATGTTGCTGACCTTGGAAGAGCTGTCAGCATAGCTTACGTCGGACCATCGGTTACTCCTTACACCGATCTTAATCCAGGGTACAGAATATACTACGTCGATGGTGACCATCCGAAGACAACTAGGGTAAGTTATCCTAATTTATTATTATTATTATTATTATTATTATTATTATTATTATTATTATTGTGATGAAAGTAATTTAAAAGATATAAAAATTTACATTAAATACTTACTAAAAGTTTTATTACGATTAAATTGATAAATAGTTGCTGACGAATAAATATGTCGCTTTGTTACAGATGGTAGTGGATCATGAGACCTGGGTAATGAACCTAAAAGAAGCGAATCTTTACGATTATCCTATATGGCATAAATTGTACAGTGCTCGACAAGCCTACCAAATGTCATCACTTTTACCTAAGGACTGGGATTCCTTGATAGATAAGATGAGCAATGAACCTTCCCTTTTCGATCTGTATTACAAGTAAGTTCCACTAATAGTTCTTAGACAGTACACAAACGTCGTATAAACGTATCTAAAAATTAATATTTAATACTAGAATTACCAATTTCTAATATACTGGGTGTCCCACTAAAACGTGCCCCTTAAATATCTTCCTTAATCGTAACGATATAAAAAATATTTTGGATCAAATCTGTATGAAGAAACGACGAAACAAAAGTCTGAATCTAGACGTTCTTACCGGCAGTTTTGGTGTTAAAATTTACGCTAAACCTGTGATAAATATATAAGCGATAAATATGTAAAAGGGAGAAGTATATAGTTAAATAGGTCGCGTAAGTACATATATGTTGAATCTTTTGAAATCGTGGTGATTAAAAAAATTACTCTTATCGTAAAATGAAAAAAAGATTTCGTATTAAAGAGAAATGAAAACTTAAATAAAGATAATGTCTGCTGAGAAATAATCGCATTGATTATTCTATCGATGATCATATCTGACGATTGTCGATCATGTTCAGCGCGCTTGTCACGATGCTGCGTGCTTAGCTAGCAAGATAATCTCGCAGCAGTGGATATGTTGCAAATTTATATATATTGTAACATTTAGCTAATCATAAAATTTCCTTAAAATTATTTATTCAAAATTATATAACCACTAAAAAATTCGTTATCTTTAACCTAAAATTATTTCTCACGTAATTCTATTGTTTCCTGTTTAACAATTTCATTAGTAAGCGTTTCGGCAGCCTCAAGACAATTCTCCATTTAACTCAGTAGCGCCACCACTGCTCATATCTGCAATAAATGTTTGTCATAAATATCGCATATACCACTGAATTGGCAAACTTTACACGCGAAGAATTAAAAATGGAATTAAAACTATGGAAAAGGAAAATTTATTTAAATGTAATTTGTTATTATTTTTCAGAAATTATTATAAGAATTCTCCTGTGAGACCACCGTGTAACGACGAGTGTCGAAAGAGGTTACTTTGTGATTTACGAAGTGGAAGAAGCCATGATCGCAAAGCGTTATGCCAGAGCCTTGAGTCTCGAATAGACAATGAAACAAGGATAGGTTGGCGAGCTTGGATTTACAACGGACTTGCTTTTTCGTATGTACATAATTTATGGCTTAAATCTTATTCTGGTGATGTCGATACCAACAGAGTTGACTAAGTATAATATAATTCTATATACATACTTCTACTTTCCTATGTTTATTAAGATATGCTTATATAAATGTGCTGTATATAGACTTTTATGTTTTATAATGAAGGCATTTAGTTTATTCAGGGTAGCAGAAGAATAATATGTTTTATTTCTTCATAAAAAGTGATATTTAGAATAAAATCGTATTTTACATTTTTAACGTATAGAATATTGAAGTTTACAGTGGTAAATTTCAGAAACATTCTCATATTAACAATTTAATATCGCGTGTCTTGTTTTCTTTTTCTATTAAAATAAAAATTTATGAAAGTTATAATAAACAATTAATAAAAATGTTTTAAACTAAGTAATTGTTATATAAAGTTCTTAGGGCAAATAACATTTATCGATTAAAAATTTGATTAGTATTTTATTACCAAATTAAGTACTACGACGAGTAAAACAAAATTTGTATTATGATTGTAGAGAAACTAGAAACATGCTTATATTTAATAAAATAATAATGATTATATCGAAGAATTATAAACATTTTAGCAAAAATTAATTATCACACACTGTTTTTACCGAACACTGCTACCTTTGAAATCTTAATGCATTTTTATCACTTTTACTATAATTATTAAGCTGTATTATGCTTCATTTGCTTTAGTGCCTACTAACATAACCAAGCATGGTACAAAATTTCACCTTTTTCACTGTTTCAATTATTTGTAATTGTTATAAATATTATGAAGATATATGTATCAAAATTTTTGTCATTATTATATGATAGATCTTAAGACAAGAAGGTGTAAACTAACATCATAATCTGAACAATGAAATTTTGTCTCTTTTTTATTCTTCTTGTATCATTATTTAATATATTCATTATGATATACACTACTGTTCATAAGTATTTGACCACCTTCAGTTTATAGAAAGTATACAAAATATATTTGAAATAAAGCATCTTAATGAAACTTTTGTTACAGTATTTCTTTCATACACTCGTATAAAGATAATATTTATTAATACAGATAATATTCCATGTGAATTATTGCGAATAAATGGGAAGTAAGAAATTTGAACGAAAACTGGCCAAGCGGGGAGGCGCACCACTTGAGTAAGATGGTTTCAATCAAATGTTTTTACGCTGTATCTTTTTACTTTTGGGAACTTAGCTAAACGAATGTATTTTTTTTTTTGTCCACATTCGGAAGATTTGCATAGATTTCTAAAGCGTTTGGCACACCCGCTAGATAGATAAATATGGAGCTAAAGCGATGGAAGCTTTTTCTTTTCTTGAATCAGTTCGAGTTCAGCAGTGCATTCGGTAACAGTTATGGTGAGAGGAAAAGAATTACTGACAGTTGGAAAGCGTGTTCTATATTAAAGAAGTTAAGAAGAAAAAAGTTAATGTTTCGCGATCTTTGGTGCTCGTGTACGATTAATAACTTTATGGACTGGAATAGTTGCAGCAGTGAGCAACGGTCAGGACGAGCGAGAAAATGTACAGAAGGTGAAGATAGCTGTATTCATACCCTTAGCAAGAGAAATAGACGTATGACAGCACCAGAAATTACACGTGAAATAAATTAGAGTAGAGAGTGAAAAGAAGATTATCAAAAGGATTTTTAAAAGCTGAAAATAAAGCGGAACGACCGATAGGCAAATAAACATGCACATTGGACAATATCTGAAGCAGCTACATGTTTACTCGAGAGTAAAACTGTCGCGAGTTGCTTTCGAGAGTGTTTCTCTCGCCAGTAGAGACAGCGTTTGGGAGTGACTGTCGGAGAGCATCGTTTAATTATACGAGAATCGGCGTGTCACGAGTTGCTCACGAGTTGCTCACGAGTTGCTCACGAGTTGCTCACGAGTTGCTCACGAGTAGACACAATAATCCATTGCTTTCGAAGAGTTGTTGAAAGAATTGAAGAGAATTCAAAATGGTATCGAAATTCTGAGAGTACGCTCGGATAGAAGCGGGAATACTTGAAGCGAATGAAAGGTGACTGAACGACGAGGAAGAAACAGATAGCATGAAGTATCGTAATGAAGAGCAGTCGTAGTATCGGTTCTTCGGAGAATGACGGTCAAACGACTCTCAAATGGATACAGTTTTAAGAGCTATACGCGAGAGTAAACTCTCGGCGAATCTCCCATCACCGATCTGAGAGCAAAACTTGCCTCGCAATATTTACTAGATGCTCTCAAATGGACACACGTAGCCTGAGGTGAAAAATGTATCGTAGACCTACGAATCAAAGTTTGAGATGGTTGGAAGTAAACGTCGTGTTTTTGTACAACGGAAACCAAGTGAAAAGTTGTGTGCCTGAGTGTATTATATCAATCATGAAATATGTAACGATTCGAGGATGTTCTAGTGTAAATAAAGTGTGTATCGCTCAGTATCATCGGGAACGAGGCTTATATAAACGAAAACTTTATATTTGTGCAAGATAATGCAAGATATGCAATAAAATATAATAATGTTAAAATGCAGTAATGCAGTTAGGCAGTAGCCGCCTCAGTCGCTAGATTTGAATCCGATTGACAAATTATGGGATGAAATGGATAGAAAAGTTCAAATAAACTGTCTCAAATCAGATAAACAATTGTGAACTTATTTAGAAATACTAAAAATAACTTGTTACCAGATTGCCTTGAATCATAAACGAAGATTAGTCATAAGCCATATACCTAAATGCAAAACTAAAAAAGTCTTATAATTGTTAGATTTAAGCTCGCGTGTAACGGACCCATTAAAGTGACGAACAGCAGACCTCTACTTATAAATCACGCCATTGACGACCGAAAACAATACAAAAAGCAAGTTCCTTGACAGTTTCCTACTCCTAAAACCGAGACTCACCCACGTTCAATCGAAAAACAATACTTTTCCTTCACCAACATTTACCTCTAACCAATAACGAAAAACATTAGACACCAAGAAATCAGTTAGAACTCAAATAGAACACAGACAGAAATCAATCAGAAATCAATCAGAAATCAGTCAGAAGAACACGATCAGAACTGAAACATGAGAGAAATCACTTAAACAAGAACGCGAACAGTAGTCGAACGCTGTAATACATCTACATACCCAAAATCGCTAAACAACTGTACGATGTAATAAAGTGTGTACATAAGCAAGAAAGTGTCCTTTATTGTATAACCAAGGGGCTCAGTATCACTTATCGCATACTGAGAGAGGGCAACAACCAATATTATTTTGCTGCCTTCGTATACAACCATCAATGTCCATCGAGGAACCAAGTATTTAACAACTTTCTATCCTATCTATTTCCTGGTAAAATCCTTAATATGTGACACGTAATAATGCTTTTATTCTATATAATTGTTTACATTTCTGTTCATTCTACTTAAAAAAATTCACATTATAACCTTGATATGGCTTTTTAGATTCTATTACGCTAAGTGGTCAAATACTTATGGACGGTACTATGTTATTCTAAATGAATCTTCTGTAAACTGTTTAGGTATCTCAAGTTCTTTTACATTGAAAGGATTAAATTAATTCCTGTTTCAATGCACAATATGGATTGCTGTAAAACACATTTAATGCATGAATGCAATACGCATAGAAAGAATAAGTCATTATGTAAGTTTCATGTATTATCCATATGTTTCAGCACTATTTTTGCAAGATATTTATCAACATAATTTTCGAAAAGAAATTCAGTGTCCAATATTAACATATTTTATTCAGTTTATAGTTATTATATGTTACCTGAAATGATATATGAATGTAAAGAAATGTTGTATTTTATATCGGTAAAAGTTCTCTTATAATCTGTAAATATTGTAAACATGTTAGATAATAATAAAATATCAGTTTTATAATATTTCTAACTAAAGGATCTAAAATGCTTGTATATATTTATTAATCGCTTTTATGATTTCAGCGGAAGGTTATTACGAATTTAGATGGTATTTTAAGGCATGCGATATATTAATACATACTAGTTGAATGTTTTTTTTTAACATTGCTTGAAATAATTAGAAAATCATTTATTTCATTAGCGAATATACTTGTTAGCGAATATATAACATTTTAAAAATACCAAAGATTACTTGAACAGTATATCATATTTGAACTCATTAATGATTCTATAACGACTGATAATCGCAGTTGTAAGTATAATATTACGAGTAAAATTATACACGAGGTAGAATAAAAATTAAACACGCTGGAGAGATGACTTTTTATAATCTAAGAAAAATGAAAAAATTGATATCGTAACTATATTTTTCTATATATTAAAAGCCATATTTTTGGATAAATTTTATATCGGAATAACACGAGAAAATCATTGTTGAAGTCAGAAAGCTATTTAAATAACATTTCTTAGCAAATAGCACCTTAGTACTAAATAACAGATAATGCCTTGTGGTGATGGAACATAAAATATGGTGGTTGAAATTTTCGACACTATTCTACATTGCTTATAGTAAGTATGCACATAAATTTTAACTATATGCTGAAATTATGTTCAACGCTTCGCACATTAGTATTTATTAAAGATGAAAACTTCTACTGTGTTACATACTTTACTTTATTACATAATATCAAATGTTGCACATAATTTTGAAACTAATTTCTTATTTAGCAAATTGTCAAGTATTATTTACATATATGATGTTTATCAAGGCTTATGTAACTGCAAAATGCGAAGTAATTAGATTACTCGAGTGAACAAACTAAGTGTAATTTAAATTATAAATTAATGACAATACGTTTCATTTTATGTTCGTGTATATGAAATAACTAATATGCCAATTGTGGTATACTTTATACTAATATATGTATATGTATATTTGTATAATTCAAATTTTGAACGTGTGAAAATAGTCCTTCTTATTTCTCTCAAAGAATTTTTATTAGAACCACATCAAATAAATGATATTTAGTGTATCACAGTAATACGTTTCTTTCTTAAATTTCAAATCAATATTTTTTTTTCTAATTGTAAAGTAAAAAATGTAATTTATACATTACATATTAAAAGGGTAATGTTATTTTCAATAATACAAGAGAAATCAATTTACAAATGAAACCATAAATACAAATAATATT